CACACATTTGCCAAGGCCAGAAATCTCCAAATGAATGGACCTGGGTGAAATAGGGTGGACGAATATTTATAGAGCCCGACCGATATATCGTTTTGCCGATATTATCGGCCGATATGAGCCTGTCGCCGATATATCGGTATAGGCGAATATGCCGCCGATATGAACATTTTTTTTACAGAACATATAATGCAGATAAAATGCTTGAAATGGTGTAATTACTTAGTTTGTCCAGCAGAGCGCGCTACATTGTTTGCTACTGGCGACCTGGATGAAACACTTTAAAGCTTAAGTCTATGGAAAACCAATGGAACTTTGAATGGCCATATCTCCGTAATGGTGCGGCGAATCCGCACCAAATTCAGGGGATCCCTTCAGCTTGAGGAACCCTCTCGAACGCGAATCGAGTGTACGTCTCGAGGCCCTCTTTCAAATGAGACCACCCCCGCGTGGATAGCCCCCGGGGTTCGGGAGTTACGGGTGGTTAAATTCGCGGTCCGGCGAATAATAAAAACTGAGATAAAACATTTACTTAAGCCAGAATTTAAATGTTACTATGGTAAAATAAATATTCAAACCACGTGTGTTACAACTAACACCCCGTTACTTTGTGCATCGCACTCATCGCAAGTTTATTGTTAAATTGTTAAATGCCCTTACATATCTCTGTCACCATTATAAGTGTTTGATCACCACATTTGAGTGATCATTGCAAAAAATGTGTTTATGTATATATATTCTGTTTATGTATATACTGTATTCTATATATAGTACCAGTCAAATGTTTGGACACACGAATGGGAAAGTGTCCAAACTTTTGACTGGTACTGTACTATAATATACACAAAGAATATCGGCCGATATATCTGTATCGGCCTTTTTTTTTTACTCCCCAATATCGGTATCGGCCCCAAAAAACCCATATCGGTCGGGCTCTATTGATGAGCATAAGAAACTTCTTTAATAAACATTATTGATCCCAAACTTTTGATTGGCAGTGTATTATACTGTAAAAAAAAAAGTTCTCTGGTAACCTAAAATGTACATCATTTAGTCACGGGTCAAATTAAATACAAATAGCACATTAAAATTACACACTTTTTGTGTGTGTGTGCGCTGTACAGGTCTGGTATAAAGAATGTTTTTGCTCAGGTGGCCGAAATGTCCGCCCAATAGAGAAAAGTTTGGCATAAGCAAGAACAAAAAATTAGAGGGAACATTGCCTATGACTGCCTCAGAAATAACAGCTAAAACAAAAGCCTACAAGTGCTGGGTGAAACAGCTATACAGTCATATGACAACATCTGTACAGGTATAAAGCACGCCATGATCAGTAAAAGAAGGCCATAAATCTCTTTATGTTTTTACTGAACATATATCTGGTCCAAGTTTGCTGTGAAAAGAAAGGTTTGTATCTGCAAAGGGGCTGTGTGCATCGACTTTTTTAAATCAACATTAAGATTTTAGGTCACAATTTATAATAATCTGTAAGGGATGAGTGTATAGGAGTCCTGTAACCGTTCACTATTTAAATCACCATTTTAAACATCCCTAGGGCTGCACAAATAGCCAAAATAAAACCAAAATCGTGATATGGCTTTTCAAAAAGAACGCATTTTTCCATTCCACTGTGCTGCTTTTACATTGTTTTTCTATGTAAATACATGCTAGACGGATGCATTTGTCCATTGCACTAGTCTTGTGTCTTTTACAGTTCTCGCACATGAAAGTTCAAATGGGTCTCGAAAGCTTGCTTTTTCCCCCCATTCCACTGCACGTGTCTTGCTCTTTTCAAATCAAAAACATGTTCTGTGTGAATGACCCCTTAGTGTAATTATCAAATCACAAAGGCTATAATTTAATTAAATATATGTGCTGCATGTTTCAGAGTGAAGCGCAGCACTGTGTTCATTTACACGCGATCAGCTCATGATCTGGTGTTTTCAGTGTCTCAGAGCGACTCACAGCAAACTCCCGGCAAACTCATCTCTGCATCTACTCTGAGTTTGAGTCAAGTATAACATGCGGCATCCATCTTCCCAAACTTTTTTATGATAGGAGCCCATTAATTAAATTAGTATCAAAATTATAAATAAAATGATCATAATATTAACATTTTATATAAAAAAAGTCATAATTATCATTATTATTCTTAATATTATTATTATTATTACTATACAGACACACAGACAATCACACAATTTTCAGCCAAACTGCAGCCCTGTATACAGACAAGCACCATAAAGCTGAAGTAAAAAAAAAAATACAAAAAAACATAGCTTAAATTATTTATAAAATAATTTGCAATATGAGGTTTAAAAGAGTTTTAAACCAAGTATAACTTGTCATACTGCATGACATGTCACATTTCCCGTTATACTGCATGACGTCAAACTTTCAAAAGTATTTGTCAACTACCCATAAATCTGCAAATCACTGCAGTAATTTAAAAGCTGAAGGACCATGATGCTAAAGATTTGGAAGCTAAAACTAATGTACAAAATAAGGATAAATGTTTATCTTAATATTTACATGTTTTTAAAAGAAGACACCAATGCTAATTTAAATCTTCACAGCACAGTTATGTAGACTACATGACATAAGGGTTTAATTTCTGGACAGAAACCCAAGTCAATACTGACAAGACATGCAGAGGGGGTGGGAGACACAGTGAGACGTGTGTTTAAAGCCTCTGAAAACAGTCAACACTTACAAATGGCTACATCATGCTTCTCAGCCACGTCATATTTACGGGTAGGAACTGCCTTTGCCACACATTCCTTGCAAAGAGCACTGGCTGAAATCCACATTCCTGAAACCCACAAAGAATTTGCTGCTTTTCCTGGTTTATGTTTACAGAGATAAGAGCCTTGGCCCTTTCTTAACATTCACCTTTAAACCCTGCACAGCCTCATATACTTACTTTCAGATGATCAAACTTGTATGCAGTATGTACAGTGATACAAAGGATGTTTAGCTATAAATACTTACATGCTTTTATCAAAGGAAAGTTTAAAAGACACCTGTGTGTGTGCTTTGCATTCAACTGCTTGCTGTTTGTGAGACCCTAAAATGATACTTAAGATTTCAAGAGAAAGATTTCAACATCTTAGACAATGAGAAAGACTCTATAAAACATCAAAAGGTTTAGACCAGATAACATTTTCTATTAATCGATTGTGACAGTTCTATTTGTAATTGCTCAGCCATTAATGCTCGACAACGACCCCTGTTGATACATTTAGAGTGGCAACTAACCGTATTAAAATACAGCCATTAAAAAGCACAGTCGTGAACATTAACTTACCTGTGACATCTGAGGCCGGAAGTTGATCTGCTTTAGGTCCACGGATCCAGGAGACAGATTGTGCAGCATCTGGCACAGGAGCACCCCATCTCTAAGCGCCTGGGCCAGGTCAAACACCACCGCTGAGGGCCAAACGACCCGGTGGTTGGGGGGCAAAACCTTACAGTCTATCAACCAGCGACCGCACTGTCTCCACTCCTCCATATTGACAGAAATGATGTAGAATACTGGCAAAAATAAAACTGTATGTCTGGCAGCCTGGCGCACGTACCAAGATAATGCTGATGTGAAATTATCCCAGTTCCTCTTTAGTCCAAAGGGCACTAAAGTGCCTAAGGTCAATTGCGTGAGAACGATCTTCACAAGGATATACGCTTAACAGCTTTTTTTAACGAATTAAATCCAGCTGAGTGCTATCCACTACAGAGCTATACAGGACTTTGTACAACGAAATAATCAAATTATTAAGCTAAATTAAAGGAGAACTCGAAGAAGTATCGTATGATGTTAAAATATGATTTAGATATGTTTCCCTTCAGAGAATCAGAGGAGTTTCCTCTTCTTCATCATGGACTGACATATTTGGCTCTGTAAACGCGTCCTGTCACAGCAAAAAAATGTGTCTCTCAAGACTACAATAGATATGTTCCTTAACAATAAATGCTGGAAAAGACTGCAGAGCAGCCGTTACACGCAATTTCGGACGGTTTATCAAAGTTTTACGCTTAAAATAAAGAATAAATCCATGTTTTGTAGTCTTCAGTAGAAAACTCCTCACAAGCGCTCGCGCACCAAGGCGGGATGTAAACTAACGTTAAATAACGTCCAACTCCAAACAGAATCCGGTCCAAACTTGTTTTAAAAACTTCTTGAGGGAAATATCACAGCGTTCAGTGAAACGCACAAACCCTGGCGTATTTAACGCGAAAACTGTCGTCCGTCCCGCTCCTTTCGCTTCCACAGAAAGAGAAACGCCGCGAGGTCTTGGTGCTGGACAGTCGTGCCTTGAATCGCGAAGGTTTCTCGGTTGTTTCTCAGTTCATCTCCGTGTATTGATTTGTCCGCTCGCGTGAGCCGTGAGTGCGAGCAAGCGTGAGCGCGAGAATGGGCACTCGGCGGAGAGATCGCAATCACATCTGGGTTCCGGTCGCGCTTGTCCACGTGTGAGGAGGAGGAGAGGGTCGGTCTCACTAAGATACCAGAAAGCCTTTTTTTTTGTTATTATTACTATTTAGGAAATTCTGGAGACATCACAGTAAATACGAACATGTGAGGAAAATGTCAAATGTTTTCCAATGTTTTTTACATGACGGTAAAAATGACTGGCTGACTGAACATTCAACAATACACGGACAGTTTTAGATTAAACTGTTTAAAATATTCAATCATAATTAAATGATCGTAACAACTGTAATGATTTACATATTATTTTTGTTATTGCTATGTAATCCAGACTGATTTTTATATGAATAGGTTTGATAAGATTTCCTGGGAGCCTTCAATCATGTAGTCTTGATCAGCTTAATATGTGTGCCATGTAATTTATAGAGCACATGTGCAATCCAAATACACTTCCACTTTCTATTCCTGTAACATAGTAAAAATCTCACTCCATTTTTGCGGGGACCCTCAAATTCACCTCAGTAAAAGTATTTACATAGATGAGACGTGTATGTTTTGCTTGTCTTGATGGAAAATTTGCTGTAGTGTGACTATTTTGCCCTGGGACCAATATGAAAACTGGTTAAAGCACATTTAGGATGAAAGATGGCTTTTTGAGACAGATGTGAGTAGCTGTCACAAGACTCAAAGCATTGATCCATCTTGGCCTCTGCAGTATTGTGTTAGTGGGGACCATATTCTAAACACCGCAGCAAAAGGTCACATGTTCCTCCCCTCAGAAAGTGTTATTATAAACCCTAAGGATGTACAGAATACATGTTTAACTGAATAAATGATTGGGACAGTATCACTTCTGTTATTCCCTATTAATCAGTATCAGCATTTTGAGTTGGTGAAATCTCTTTACAGAAACTGAAATGTATGTGACATCCATCTGGGGTTATATAACACCCAAGGACAGAAGACTCTAACACTGTAGTTATTCTTTTTTAATACTTTTTTTGGAGGATTATTGTAATAATTTAACATTAAAACTAGCAATCACAGCAGACATCAACTCTAGCAGAAATGGGACACTGTTACCATCTAGTGGTCAGTGGTGGTATTTCGGTGGTCATGCACTCACGTGACACTTCTTTACCAAATATCAGAATATCCATGAAGTTCATTACCATTCTTATGTTCTGTTCTATATTAGAACTAATCAAATTATGAGCTATGAATAAAAATATTTTTTTTATGGTAAACTGCAGAAGGCGGCATGTCCACATACAACGCGCAAAAATTGAAAGTAAACACAAAATAAAAGGCAATTTGTCATTTATTTTATGAAAAAAAAAATGTACCCGGTGTACAGAACATTCCAGGTAGGCAAATACATCAAATGTTAGCCTCTACCAATGCCTCCGACCCAACGCCTCAACCCTCTGGCCCGTATCGCAATAAACAAGCCTAAATCTACTCACACTGTATTCTTGATTTTGTTGTTTCCATGACTGACATTTACAGTATAACTATAAACAGCTCAAAATGTTTTTTTTTTTTAAGAAAAATACAATAAACCAGCATGCATGTCAAAATAAAAAGTACAATTTTTGTTTTAAATATAAAAGGAACTTTTTCAAATCAGGGCCTAAAATGAAATTAAGTTGTATATTTATATAATTTATCTATATAGTCATATACTTTTTCTTTTTTTCCAGCCCGTCTCTAAAAGAAATCATTCTTAAGAAACCAGAAAGGACTGGATCAATATTTGTGTCAGACACTCAGAAATTACTTAGGGAAGCTTTGTAGTTATGTGACAACAAAATCATTAACATGATTAACCTTAAAATATGTTTTGACTATGTCTATTAGTGTTTTAATTAGTCTGAAAGATACATGTCCCTCATAAATTTTAGCTTTCTCAAAATTATTACAAAATTAAGTGTTCCTGCAATTATGTCCCAAAAGTCTTCAAAACACCTGTCCATAAACCAAATGCATCAGAAAATGAAACCATTATCAGTTCCCTTTACAATACTTACAATTGTTTTGTTTTTTTTTTCTTTAAAAAAGTAATTGGAGAGGACATTACAATATCTTACAAACACTTAAGAAAATAATCAAACGCAGTTATTCTAAGAGGTATCGGATAGAAAAGCAATCCACAGAAGGAATGGCTGGGAAACTTCATTAAAGGAACATAACTTGTTTGAAACCCAACTGATTGGAACTATTCATAAGATCTATTGTAGACTTACAGGTGTCAACATCCACATCACCAACACTTCTAGCCTTATCTAAAGTTATCTGATGTACAAATGTCAGTCATTCGTGTGACTATTTGGAAATCTGTATATTTATTGCTGACCAAGGTGTTTAATAAGACAGGAAGTCTGCATGTGATCCAGTTTACCGATTCACATGTTCACATCATTGTAAATCATCTGTACAAAACCACCAAATCTACTTAGAGTCCCATTAAAATATTTTCCTAAACCATATATTAGCTGAAGAGTATAGGATTCTGTTTTAATATTGTTCTACAGCTATAATAATGGCCAAATTACATTTCGAGAGCTTTTTATGCCTAATTAAAGCAATTTGTTCCCCAAACTACCTAAATGTTGACACACTTCTCAGTTGATGAGAGAACAATAAAGAAAAAATAAATCAATAATGGCACAGTACCCAATGGGGAAAATATGAGGCCACAGCATAAACAAAATAATAAAAAATAAAAAAAAACAATAAATACAACAGACTGGTACAGAAGTCAAATCTGGAGAGAAGAGTGTGAGCTTTCCGTTTTCCGCTCTCTCTGTTGAGATGGGATGGCTTATGATTGCAATGGTACCGTACAACATTACCAGGACACCAGGGAAGAGAATTTGAACTGTAAAGTATGCTTCAAGATTAGTTTGCTTTTTAGCTGTAATTTTCTTCACGACATTTCCAAATGGAAAAAAAAAAATCTGACATGATGCATTTTTATTGTCTCTTTTCTTTCTCTTTCTTATAAAAAGTCTCAGAGGGGAAACAACCTTGACTGCATACAATGTTTTTAAAAAAATAAAAAAGTAAATAAAAAGTGTTCAGTCGGAGTCACTGCTATCTGAAGTGGAACCACTGGAGCTGCTGCTGCCCGAGTCTGAGGAACTACTGCTGCCACTGAGCCGAGAGGGGCCTGAGCCTCCTTTCTCTGAGACCAAAGAGAGAGAGAGAGAGAGACAGTGGTTACAGAATTGTCTGCATTTACATACCAAGCCAAAAAGAGGAAACATTTGTGAAATGAACAAAATGCACGGTGATTAGCAATACATTTAATAAATAAAAATAAAAAAAGCAATACATTTCATATGCTGATAAACCCTATCAGTTTTAAATAGAAGAAAGCAATTCAAAACATTAAGTCAGAAAGTTGACATATTTTGGTAATTACTTAAATACAGTGGCAGCAGTGCAGTCTGGCATCTAGCTATGTGTGTAGGCCAAGAGTGCGCACTTACGTGGAGGTTTCCTCTGTTTCTTCTGTAAACAGGACTTGACATATCGCTCCAGCTCACGCAAAGTGGAAGGTTTGAGCGTCTCAAAATCTATTTCGATTTCGTCAGGGTTGGAATCCCGCAGCGAAGGCTCTCTGGACTGAATGATGTGGACCACCCTGCCCAATTTCTCTCCAGGCAGCCGGTTGATGTCGAGGCTCAGTTGCCGTTTTTCATCGTATGTCATGGGGAGTGACATCTCCTCATCAGACTCGTAGCCTGGCCCTCTGCCACCCTTCTTTGGTTGCCTGTGAAGGTTCCATCCATACAGCAGAAACTCTTTAGACCTTAACTGACTTTTTTTTTAAATTATTTTTATTACATTTTCTTGAAACACAAGACTGACACATGTACATACTGTGTCTGTAACAATACTTACTATGTACAGAAAAGAAAAGAAAACAAACACTAGGGGCTCATATTACATAAAAAGTGTAAAGCACAAAACCAACAAAGTGTTAATACAGTCTGTACTTTGGAAGTTAGATTTAATAATCCATTGCAAACAATAACAACCGCAGTTGTAAGGGGTTAATATAATGCACATTAAAATATATTTAAAATACCCAATCAAGAATTTTGATCCTCTATTATAATGTTAATATCCCTACATTCAATAAATAATAAAAATGGACTCCAGATTTTCTTAAATTTAGCTTGTTTACCCATAAGCATACAGGTTATCTTTTCCATTGCAATGCATGAAGATATTTCTCTTAACCAATGAGTTATGGTAGGCCTTTGTCTTTTTCCAATAAATGGCAATGAGTCTTTTGCCATGCAAAATGCACATATCTATCAATACTTGATTATCCTTTTTAATATTCCAATTTTCTGGATGAATGCCAAGAATGAAAAACCCTGGATCTAATGGTAATCTTATTGAAACCATCTGCTCTATCATATTTCTTTAATTGATTTAGATTGAATCCATAAAACAAACCCAGAACATCACCAAAAAAAAAAAAAAAAGCAAACCTGTTGCCTGGTACAGTGCTGTTAGCCTTTCTGGCAGGACCCTTTTTCTGCTGGGCTGGTTTCGGTGGCTGTCCTGGCTTCGGTGGCTGTCCTGGCTTGCGTTTTTCCTCTGTCTTGGATTTGTTGTGCTTGTTCTCTTTCTTTTTCTTGTCTTTTTCTTTCTTCTCTTTCTTTTTCTTTGGTTTACTTACGGGGGCCTGAGAAAGAGCGGCTAACTGTTCGTGGACTGCTTTCAGCTGGGGAGAGCCAAGAAGGGGGTGTTAGTGATCTGCTCCAAGTCATCACTTATTGTACATGACATTTACATTCAATTATCAAAGAGAACTACAGACTTCATACAGTTTGGTTTTCCAGTGCCAAAGAAACAAATGTATTCAATTATAAAACAAAACATGCAAAACAGCTGCCATTACTAAAATACAGTAATAATAATAGTATAATAATTAAGTTAATACAATAGTAACTAGTTATATTATTTTTTATTATTATTATTATTTATTAATTAAATACAGTATCTTCCAAAATTCTTAACACTGGACAACCAAAAATCATTCATGCCTGTTATTATCTGTGATTCCAAGAATAGAGTACATGTCAGAATGAAACAGAATGAAAAGAATATCAAGAATAGGACATAAGGTTTTAGAAGCAATTCTGCCCTTTACAACTAGAAGTAAAACGGTTACATTTACATATTTAAAAAAAAACTACACAAACCATGTGCCTAGCAATGCCTCTGCTGTTTACTAAATATGGCTCAATGAAAAACAAATCACAACCAATTAAACTGATATTGGCAATAACAGCATTACAATGCAGATTATCAGTATCTCTGTTCTGATGCATACCAGCGTAACTGATATTTACAGAACAAACCAAAACAGTGGCAATGCCAGACCGTTACACCCCTATTAACCACAAAGCCATGGTAAGAATAGAAGAATACCACCAGACTAGTGTCTCATGCTATGAAAACAGTCCTTATAAATACATATTAATGGCATAAATGTAGATAAAGGGCAGTTAGAGCTTCGCACTATTTTCTGGAACTAGCAAGAGTTTGTCTAAATGCAAAGCAAGCCAACATGAACAAAGTTCTCGCTCCACAAACACACACACTTTTATCTATTCATTCCCAAAACTTCCAGCACTTCCATTCTAAACATACACGGCTGGATTCCCAACACCACCCAACAAAGTCAATATTTTTCTGCTGCTTTTAACCCTCTACCGCTGATCTCACTATCCATATCATATGCTTGATCATCTAATACAAAAAATGAAAGCAACTGTACAGCTATTACACAATGTTCTTAGGCAGGGACAGGGAAATGAAAAGTAAAATCACCTGATTATTCTTGGTGCACCCGTTTTTTATCCCCTGTCTGCTACCAATGGGGTGCTCCAAAGAGATACACTGGTAAAGAAAATGGCAAGGGAAGAAAGTATGATATAGAGCTCAAATAAGACAAACAAAGCCACAAAAAAATGCTACTAGATCTACGTTTAGGCATTCTGGAATGTAATGCAAAGCAGTATACGCAGCTGGTTGCGGTAGAGGGTTAAAACGCAGCTCTACGTACAAGTACACAGAAAGGTGCTTGCTCTGAAAGAAGAGGAGGGGTTATTTTAAGTGGAAGCCCCTCCGGGTCCTTCAGAGCATGAACATTGATTGAAGCAGTCATATGTGGGTATGGTGTGAAAAGGATAATCAGAAGGGCCGACACATATCGGGAGGCCTGAGAGAACATCTCTGAGCCTGGAGAGATTAAGGGTACTTGATCCTTGTTTTGAAACCCACCTGTTCCGCACCCACCTGTTCCTGCAGCTCGGCGAGCCGGGTGGCCCTCTCCTCCTCGGAGTCGGAGCTGTCAGAGGTGGAGGAGTCGCCACTGCTCTCACTGCTGACAGTACTCTTACTGACCACACCGGCCCCGCCTACACCACCTGCCCCGGCCACCTCCACTGGCTCATCAGGCATTTTTGCAAAACGCATTTCAAACACATCCTGAGAGACAAAAAAACACACAATGTCATTAAACAATTCAATATTTTAAATAAAGAAATTAAAAGACATTGCCAAATTAGATGGGGGAAAAAAACACACACCTGCAGCTTTCTGGCCATAGCAACCACCTCATGATCAGGTGGGTTGTACTTGTAACAATTTGAGAATATTAATCTGATATCTGCAGCAAAACTCTGTGCATCTTGGTATTCTCGACTGTCCATTTTTTTCTGCAAGCAAAAAAAAAAAAAAAAAGAATAGATTCAATAACTAACCGAACCACAATGTGCAAATTCATGTGCAAATTCAACGTACTTTCACTGTGCTCAAGTCCATGGGGTGTTTGATTATGTCATGGTAGTCATGTAGCTCGAGAGCATCTGCGTCGACAGGCTTGTAAAAAGGCCAGGCGTATGCAGCATGCTTTTTCGAAAGCATTTCTTTAAGGATGACCTCGCAGTACTTGAGCTGCTCTGAAAGCCTGCCCTTTTTGCTTCCGTGTACGCCTAGTTCTCCATCCTCAAAATCCTTTTTAGGGGGTTTGATGGGGCGACCGGTGCTCTCTCGCCTGGATGCCATCTTGCCCTGTTTGCCTTCTGAAAGAGGGGTGGGTGACTGGCTCCTGCTGGCGGTGATGGCAGAGGTAGTAGGGGTGGTTGTGTCTGCTTTCCTCTTTACCCCCTTCTTCTAGGAAACAAAAATAAACCACACAGGGGAGACACAATGTCAGTGTATTTATATTAAGTGATATTCTGAGAGGTCCTGCAACTTACTTTGATCGTGGGTTGCGACGGAGGCATGCCAGGTATCACGGCGGCAGTGGTTGTGTTCTGTACAGCTGGTAAGCTAGGAGTGATGGTGGGCACTGGAGCTGGAGATACGACTGCTGTCTGTGAACTCGGTGAGGTGGCACCAGGGAAAACAGAAGTGGGCGAGCCAGAAGAGACTGCCCCATCCTGCTGACCTACATTTATATTATTAGAAAAATAATTATTTGTTTTCTGCTAATGCATGAATGTAGAATGTTATGATCAATTCATCATGAAGACTATTCATATTTTACCAGGCCCTGCTGGTTTGCGGCTTTTGCCCTTTGGGGCAGGAGGAAGAAGCTCAACCTCCTCCTGAGGCATCAGGGCCACCTTCTGAAGGAAGATCTTCTCTAACGCTTGTGCCATCAACACAATGTCATCTGTAGGCTGGGAAAACCAACAAGGAATAAACATGGATTGCATTTGCCAAAGCAGCCTCTCCTCCAAACATGTACAGTGTAATCATGTTGAGTTTTAAACCAGATTGTGCCAATCCATACCTTGTTGTAAATATAACAGTTTGTGAACATCGTGTTGAAATCCTGCATACACTCGCTTGCACTCCAGTAGTACACATTCTCCAGTCTTTTCTTGATGGTGCCCATGTCCATTGGATTCTTTATGATCGTGTGATAGTCCTGGACACCAAAAAAAAAAAAAGGGCAGAAAGTCTTTAAAACAAACTAAAGCTTCAACGTCACATACTAATATAAAATCAAACCGGATCAACTAAATGACAAGCTCTCATTCTCAAAGGAAAACTCAATTAATAGAACCTAGATTTGTAAAATTACAAATCATTTTATTAATAATTTTATTCAAAATTATGGACTGTAAAATAACTACATGTATATTACATTGAATGTTTTCTATCACATCCACTCACTGGAAGACCAAGTTTAAGGGCATCAACAGGCTGGTAGAAAGGCCATGCAAACTGGTGCCTCCACAGTGTCTTGACAACTACATTTTGCATGTACTGCAGCTGGTTAGTCTTGCGGCCAGGTTTGGTAGGGTTGGTCGCCTCAGGTGGAGGAGGGTTGGTGATGGAAGGAGCTTCTGAGGTTGCTGAAGTGACCGTTGACATTTTGGTGAAAAGGGGGAAAACAGCTTAATGGGGAAGGGATCTTTATTACTCTGCACAGGCAGACTTATTTTTGATTCTCAATGTGCTTTCTCTTTATGTTTTTCGGTTTCTCTCTCTTTAAGCTCTTCAGTCATCTGAGAGGGACCACATCCCATTGCAGGACCCGACCTTTGACCTAAAAACAAGAAACACTACATAAGTCATAAAAGCATCATGCTGTTTAAACAATACTGCAACTGCATTAAAAATCACTTTAGAAGTAACAATGAATTGAGAGCAGCGACATTTTTTTGTTTTGTTTTGTTGAGGTACATTCAAGTGAAACATTATCAGAAAATAAAAAATCCACAGGTTGATTAGTTGGAGACAGATCTGAATGTGAGCTTGCAGCCGATTGATTATATGAAAGGGATGGGGTTTAAGCAGAATAAATGACTGGAAAAGTCTGGCATACATCTCATTTTCAATTTAAATTTTACTGTCAGAACTTTTCCCAAAAATTGCCTTGCAGCCCGTAATGTACAATGCCATCAATACACGTCAAAACACCCAAACACCACAATTACAATCGAATAAACACCAATAATACTAATAACAACAACAACATGTAAAATACATAACTGGCTGTAACATATCAAAATAAACACTTTCAGGTTTTCTGGAAGCCAATCTTTGAGCAAATACATAGTCTAGCCAATCATGTTTTAAGCTGAACAGAGTCAGCTATGCCATGCCATGCACAGATTCCATATTGTACAAGACTCTGAATTATAGATTGAAAAAAAAAAACAAGTGACATCACCACAGTGAAGTATGTCCATTCACCTGATCAACTTATGACATTTTGATAAAAAAAAAAAAAAAAAAGTTTAAACATTTTTTTAAAGAAACATGCATGGATGAGCCAATTTATAAGGGTATAGGGCATTTTCATGTCAGACCACTCTCCCCAAAACAAACAACTGGTGTGTAAAACGGAGCTATTAATACATTAGCTCACAGGTAATAACATACATTCATTCTGAGTTGGAAACACTACAATGGTGGTTTCTGCTGTTGACATGTCAAATAACACCCTATTTTCAAATCCTTCCTGAAAGCATTTACTTAAGAAAATTCTGTCGTGATTTAATCTTTTTGTTGTTCCAAGCCTGCATGACTTACTGTTGTTTGTAGAATACAAAGGAAGACAGGCAGAATGACAGTCTTAGTCACCATTCACTTATTATACGGAGAAAAAAAAAGATTCAATTTAAGTAAATGGTGACTTAGACTTTTTTCTAAGAAGAAAAAAAAGTCATAGGGGTTTAGAACACCTTGGGTATGAATAAGTGATGAACAATAGTGTGAACTACATACTACTATAATCTTAATGAGCGCACATGTGTTTAGTTTGAAACTAAACAGTCGCAGAATTACCGCGTAAACAATCATGCTGCCCCACCGGACTAGGTCCACTCATTATTTCCAAATAAAATTAGCTCTTTTCAAAATAATTTTAAAAAACATAACAGCTAAAGTATTTAAACTTAGACGGCTATATCCACCACTAGACTAATTCTCATCTAAGTTAACTGCTTCACACATATACCACAACTATGAGAACAATTAATCAAACTGAATTGTTTCCAACACATCCTTCATATTCCTCTAGCCTCCGACCACAAATATAGCCATAAGATAGCATATTTACGAAATAAATGCCTCCTGTTGTATTTGTGCATGTGGTGGAGGGAAATAGAGCGGGCGCTCTGAACGGAGCCGCTGATTAGCTTTAGCACACAGTCAGTCACTCACGTAAAGATGGCGCGCAGCAGCAGCAGGCTAACCGAGTTAGCATCCACACTGACCGCCTAAACACCTTCCCAAGTCCCTGTAATTCACTCACATCCAAACGTAATATACATAAATAGAGGTTATAAATAAATAAAGAGGCATATAATGGCGTAGCGGGCAAACAAGTGAATTTGCCCATGTTATTTCAGCGAGGCTTTGTTGTACTGTCGCTTTGTTGAAAACAACTAACGTTAGCCACTTGCTAACGGCTTCTCGTGAGATTCACTAATTGAACGCGAACTCTATTAAAATATTTACATAAAATCCATATTACTATGTTAAAATGCGTTGTTTAAATAAAAATGTAGCACATTACTCACTCAGGGGCTTCAGGAGAAGGGCTAGCGTGTGGTGATCCCAGTGGCTCGTCGCTTGTTTGGAGGCTAGGCAGCAGCACAGAGATGAGGTACACGGAGTGTTGTGCGCATGCGCATTGGCGCGCTATGTCCAACGCCAAACCATCTGCTCTTTGGTACGAGTCCGACCTTTTTTATTATTTTATTATATTTGATTTATTTGAATCATTTAATATTTAATTTTTTTTTCTTTCTTTCAATTCATTCATTAATTCATTCATTGAAAGTTATTTATTTATTTATTTTTTCCTAGCACCCTCTTGTGGCCCCCTTGGGGTCCTCGGCTCCCAGTTTGAAATCCATGTATCTAAAAAAAAATAAATAATAATAATAATAATTTTTAAACAAAAAACAATATTTGTTCTTTTTTTATTTAATTTTATACCATGGTTCTGTAAAAGGCACAATTTACATCTTAGATATGGAGCCAGACTCAGAGCCAGGTCTGTTGTCAACTTCCTGCTTACAGGAACAAATTATATCAGAATTATTTATTCATTTCTTTATACATGTCTCTGTTTACTATAATGGAAATTGATATATTCTGATGCCTCTTTGTTGTTTATAGTGTGATGATATAGCTACGTGTTTAGAATAATAATTACACGGTCAAAAATATCTGGTAGATCTGCTTACAAGTAAATAAAAGATAAAAGAGCTTCTAAAAGCCTCTAGCTCATTATAAAAACTGATCTGCCACATGGTGCACGGTACAGTCTATCATCTCAGCGTTTGAAAAAAAGTACCTCTTGGGCCGCCGTTGAGATCTGCGCATGCGCAGTAGTTGTTACTGCCTCATTACCGCCTGAGCCTGTGGTGGAGAGGCGCTCATCCACCATAGTATTCAGCACGATCACTAACTCATTGCATGATCAAAACGGCCTGTCGCGCGATTCATGAACAAATCTTTATCCAAAGCCAGTAGTGGAGTCATCCCAGAAGCCAAGAACAGCTTTTATTACCACCTCAGCAGCCGCCGGTGAGTGAGTTTACTCGCTGCTTTTGTTGTCTGAATGTATGGACCCAGAGTGAGAGAGGCATGTGTGGAGAGAAAAGATCCATCAATCTTTACTGTATTTAATGTATTGGGGATGGGACAGATGACTGAAACGATCGCGGTAAACCATGACTTTAGACACAAAGATGTGTAAATAACACGGATAAATGAGTTGCAGGTGCTCTATCGTTTCTCTGAGGCCCTGCGTCTCTCGAATAGCCTAGCTGCTAACAGTAATGGTGTTTTTACAGATCTTCCTGACACAGACACGAGCTCTGTAAATGAGATCTAGATTTTAGCGTTGGTATTTATCCGGATGGTTTTAGACTTTAGTCAGTTTCCCAATGCCATTAGTCTTGTCATTAATGTTGTGCAGACGAAACACTGTTTTATCAGACTTTATTTTTTTTTTTTTATATAACTGTTTTGTTCTTTTATGTGTATACTAGTATCATATTATATGCTTTAGGTGGCGTGTACAAAGTATGTGTGTTCTCATGTACAGGTGTGCGTTATCAGTTTATCCAGAATCTGAAAGATTGTGAAATTATACAAGTTGTTCATTTAATTATTATTATTTTTTCTTTATCTCTTTACATACCCTTGGTGCTTTATATTGTGTTTTGCCTCTTCCAGCATCAGTGACTATGAGTCCTGAGTGGCAAAGCTGGGATCTTAACATAATATAGTGGGGAAGAAGTTAAAAGTACAGAGCACGATGGGAAACTAAAATACTTAAAGCACCTGGATGCTTTTTTTCAGAGGGCAGATTAACAGCCCTTAACAAACCAGGGACTCATACACTATCACAAAAGGCTACAAAACAGTCAGTGATGCCAAAAGAGCATAATAATGAAAATTATTATTTGTGTGAACTAAATGCATTTACTATTTGTTTTGTAACCTTTACATATGTTCCACATTAAATAGCTTCATTGGGACAGTACAAAGTGAACAAAATGCTATTAAATATTTCTATATAATATATATTATTATATTAAAAAATATATATTGTATGAGCGTGTGTGTGTGTGAGAGAGAGAGAGAGCGAGAGGAAATTAGTATGTAAATTAAAAATATATACTTAAGGCAGAACTCTGTTAGCATGATATTTATATTGTAAAGATGTTGTGACAACTAACAAATTGACTGGCAACATGTGCTTATTAGTTTTACATGTAGCCTTTCTATATCATCTGAAGACTAATATCATACAACTACTCATCAGGGCTTCTCTTTTGGACTGTCGGGTTGACGTTGAACTTGCTTCTGTAAACCCATTTTCTCCAACTTGGTCGTCATGGCAACTGAGGAGAAGAAACCAGACACAGAGGCTACTAAAACACAGCCGGCATCAGCTGCCTCCGCCAGCCAGAGCAAGGTAAAACATCACTGGGAACGCCTGTCTGCGACACAGTTTGGAATTGTTATTTGCTTGGTTTTGGTATCGTTTTTTTGTATCGTGCAACGGATATACTTGTGGTATAAATGGTATTTATTTATTTATTAAACTTTATTTGAAAAGGGACCATGTACAATTTTAACATAAATGTTTCCATTTCATGCATTGTACCGAATTTAGCCAATGGCTAGTTTTCATCCACGGTCCCTTGGCAGGTAATCGTAATCACAGATAGACATAAGAACAATGTATTTCTATTATCAATGTCGCGCTGTTGAGGCTCGTGCTGCCTATCTCTATGAGAGACTTTCATGGAGAAATCAAAACAAATGAGCGTACGGCACACATAAAGAAACTCACAGAACAAACATACTGAGGTAAAAATTCAGAATGTTTAGTTTATTTATAGCATGATCATTTAGAGAGAAGAACGTTGTGATTAACCGTGACGAAAGCTTTGCGCAAATCTAAAAATATGGCACCAACTGTTCCACCTTTGTCAAGTTTAGATTTTATTTGCTCTGTTAAATGTAAAGTAGCTGTTTCAGTAGAATGATTTACTCTGAAACCAAATTGCATACAGTGTAAACCAACCTTAGCTTTATTAAGATAAGATGTCAATTGTTCAAGAACTACCTTTTCTACAACCTTTGAGACTACTGGCAATATGCTGATTGGTCTATAGTTGCTTACCTCAAAATGATCCCCAGATTTAAAAATAGGAGAAACAATGGCTTGCTTCCATGCAGTAGGAAAAACACTATATTCAAATGATAAATTAATTAAATGAGAGATAACAGGAGCTAAAGTATCTTTATGAGTTTTAAGAAACTTAGTATCAAATTGATGAACATCATGTCATCATATACATCATTTGTATTTGTATATTTGTATACACGTATAGCAGCCTTACTACAGAAATGTACCTAATACGATCTGTGACAATGTCATTTCTCTTTTCACTGTGTCATTAATGATGTGAGTTCTGCTCTATCTCAGTCAGCACCTGTGAAGCCAAGCTATACTTTGAAATTCACATTGGCTGGCCATACAAAAGCAGTCTCTTCTGTCAAGTTCAGTCCAGGTGGGGAGTGGCTCGCAAGCTCATGTAAGTACTTGTACTAGTAGAGCACTAATACCTATATAAAGTTGTTATGTGTTATAGAACAGGGGTTCCCAAAACATAAAATACCTCTTGAGATTTTAAAGGGAAAAAATGAAAATTATTTACTCACCCGCATTTTGTTCTAAACCCATAAGACTTTATTCTTCGAAACACAAAGATTACTTTAATGAATCCTCACAGGAATGAAACCCGACTTGATTTATTGGAGTTTTTTTATTTACATCTGAAGCACATCACATTTGCAATCTGTTTAGATGTAAATTAAAAGCCTAAATTAAATCTGTTCATTGCATAAAGTATTTGTATCTGTTCATAAGACGTGGATTAATTACTTGGACTTTCAGTGGAGGGACCGAAATCTCTCAGGTTTCATTAAAAATATCTTCATTTGTGTTTTGAAGATTAACCAAAGTCTTACGGGTAGATTATGACAGAAATTTCATATTTGGGTAAACTATCACTTTAAGGATAATTTACTAACTCATATTGTTCCAAACCTGTATGATTTTTTTCTTCCGTTGAACACAGAAGATATTTTGTTGTAACCAAACAATTGGTGTTAGCTATTGACTTCTATAGTATA